TGCCCTGACTTAGATCAGCCCAGAGGTTGTTTCAGGGTTTAATCTGTGAGTTAGTCATTCCCTGACTTAGATCAGCCCAAACTTTGATAATTTTCTTTTTTAGGACAAATATTTCATCATCCAAATATAACTCGACTTGCGATAAATTGGACCTCTATAATCTGTACGAGGACCAAAAACTATAAGTTAGTGTTTGGATTTAAGAACAAACAGACATGCAACATTTCAGTCCGCTCTCGTTTTCTACATCTTACACATCACACATACACCCCTAACCCTTCCACTCTGCCCCCCATGCCACACCCTACACCCCCAAAAAAATTTATAACTTTGGATCCACTCCTCACCACCTATTCCCCCTCAGAAATCAAAATGCATTCATTGCTTGACATTTGTCCTGCTTCTTGTCGGTGCTGTTATAAAATCTGTTCAAGTTGGATAAAGTTTATCCACCTTAGAACTTACTAATAATTATTAGCTCAATATTTATTGACAATTCTTTAGGTAAATTAATATTATCTGCATGTACTTCTATGGCTGTTTAACGCATGTCTTTAATGGTGTTAATGGTTGAATGGAATATAATTAGTGGTGTGTATATATATATATGTATTTTATATATATGTTGGTATGTATGTATGCTCACTGGTTTGACGTTATAATACTTACTCTAACTCATTTTTCAGGTTTTAAAACTGTCATCCTATTATTTAATAACTTTTCTCCCTTTTTTCCAGTTTCTCCGTTTCTTCCAGTTCTTCATTTTTTCATTTCATTCACTTGCATGTTCACTCACATTTCTTTTTCAGTTTCTCTTTATTGCACACTTCTTTCCTCAGGACTGTTTATTTGTATTGCTTTTATCGTACCCCAAGTCTTCCCTCTCAACGTTAAGTCATTAATGCATGCTAATAATGACCGTATTTTGCACTGTTTGTGAACGAGTTTTGGCATGAAGTTGATGGAGGTAGACTTAAGGGTACTTTCTCTCTTGCATGTTCACGTTCACTTCACGTTTTCTTCTGTTGTTATTTCTCTTTTATTTTCACATTTTGTCGATAAATTTCAAAAAGCAACGGCTTGACAATCGGTTCTCTTGCTCTTGGCAGCTCAATTGTGTTCGCCTGACCAATGATGACAAACGCTTTCAGCTCACGTGACCTGTCAATCATAGCTCATGTGACTCGTGTTAAAGCTCCCAGGTCACATGACTTTTTAATCACTAGGCGAGAACCTCCCTTYAGCGGCAAACCGCTCTTTTTAGTGGCCACTCGACAATTCYYCAAARTGGCCGCTTAACTTGTAAGGGTTTTACTGTACATCAAACGCTTTGCGCCTTTGCAAGAGTAMCCTGTGCGCAATGCCTTCATTTGGGGGACTACTCGTTGCACAKTACTGCTTRCTATGTGTCAATGTGCTTTTCACCAATGAAGTGCAGTAACTGACGAACCGACGCATCTGATGCAATGACRTACGGGATTCCATATCAAACATTGCAAAAAGAATTCCCGATCAAAAAGACCCCTTGCAGGATATGGGAATGCAGCTCAATTTGGAGGACGTTACAATAGGTTTCCAATTCTCAGGAGATCGAAATTCTTTTGATTTGTCCTCCAAATTGAATTCCTTTTACGTCACATGCAAGGGGTCTATTTCTTGATTTGACAGCGAAAGAATATTTTGTTGTTTGACTGAGATGGCTGCTTTGATTGACAGGCATGTGCGCCATGGGTTTGTCACGTGAGCTAAGAAGAGACATCAGTTMGAAAAGGATGGCAGAAATTTATTTTTATTTTTCTGATTTTAATATCAGTTTTCTGTTTGTTTTGTAGGAGTTCTATAACAAGAATAAAAGATCAAAACTTATTTCTAAAAGATATTAGTAAAGAACGGAAAGAATTCGAAGAGCGAAGTCATAAAGACCAGACCTCGCCCACGCCCCACGTCAAGGGTCGCTACTGTAAGGTGCCCAGCTTTCCAGACTCGCCTAACGAAATTGAAGAAAAAGATAAATCATTCGGGTTCAACAAAAATGAGAGTGAAAGCGAAACGGAAAGCGAAACRGAAAGCGAAACAAGTTCAGAAGAAGGATCATCCGCGGAGGAAAAAGAGAACACTGTAGTTAATTCCAAAGCGGGTTCTTCAGGATCAGAGAGCGAGAGCGAAGAGGAGCAAAAAGCTCCTGTTTCAAGTCGAACCAGTAGGKCGGCTRTCAGCWCTGCTAGCACCACGAATACGCGAACGGCGTTAAACCGACCTGCAACTACTACTGCTACTACCACTTCTTCAAGAGGAGGTGTAGTGGATCGATATCGTCAAAATATCGCAAACCAGCAAAAAGATACAAAAACTACGCCTGTATCTCCTGTGTCTAAAACAGAACCGTCATCACGKGTATTCGGTTCGAGATTTAGTAGAGAACAGGAAGTGAAGAAAGACACTACTACATCGCGTGCAGGAAGCGCACCCGTGCGCACCACAGCCGCAACAACAACTACCAACACTACTACYTCTAGTGGTCTAAGAGGTAGGGATGGTAGTGCGGCGTCTCAGGAGAGTAAGGACGAGCACAAAAGAAGAGGGCGTAGGGTTACTGCAAGGGCGGGGACTGCTTTTGTTGCGAATGTCTTAGATGATGATGATGATGACAGTAAAAGTAACGATGTGGCTGGTAAAGATAGCACGAAGGTATGTAAAATAATAATGATAATTTTTTWAAATTTATTAATTTATAGTACGCAAATATCGATWTTTTTTCTTCAAATGCGCAATCATAACATCGTAGCTCTTGAGATTTTTTTGTTGAATCTGCGCGCAAAGTATTTATTTAGCTGGTTGAATATTGATGATTATGATCATAATAATGCATGCGATGCGAAGTGGATAAGTTTATTGTGCGTTCATCATCATCATTTTGTACTATTACCTTGCAGGGTGGGGTAAGGCAGTTTTTGTACTGCATCTACCTACTTTGCAGGGTGGGGCAAGGCAGTTTTTGTACTGCATCTACCTACTTTGCAG